GAACCTGTAATCTCTGTAGCTGTTAGGACAATACCTGAACTGCCCAGTAAATATTTCCATTGATTCCCTGGTTGTTTAGCTAAGGGCTCCAAATAGCGTGGCACGTAAGCATCCAGGCTCCAAAACCAATCAGTTTAAATGTGTACCCCGCTTATGATGATTTGTTCTAATGTATGCAAAGCCCCCCGCCCTCCCCAAAAAGTGTACTTAAGCTCTGCTTGACCTTTGCTCTGGGCTCTGGGCTGCTCTCCCTTCCTGAGTGAGCCTTGAGCCCCAGCATGCTGGTTCAATAAATCCCCTTTTGCCAATTGCATGAAGCCAGTCTCTTGTGTGGTCTCTCCCTCCGACGCTCCGCCGGTCCCTTACAAGACTAAGGAATCAGGATTGCGCCCTAACTCCTTAACCATCAAGGTTTATTTTAGCACTTCTCATTTGAAAAGTGCTTTGGGCAATCAACAGCTGTTTCAGGTAGACACGTGGAATATCCTTTCTCCATTAGAGGTGCGCTGGCAAGTGAGATATTGTCCAAGTTCATCAGTGGGAAGGACTAGGATTTGGATCCAGGTTTCCTGTCCCCCCCCCCTCATCACCAATGTTCAGCCCTTTTTATCATTTGTTACAAATCCTTTGATATGCATACATTTGACTGGAGGCCACATAGACTTCTGAAAAACAAACAAATGCTTCACTCTGTGCTAGAGAGTGATGGTTTGCTTATCAGATCCACCACATCCATCTTGCCCCAGCTCTATAGATCTCCAGCATCTGTGCTCCTCTCCAGCGAGGGCTCCTGCCTGCTAGCCCACTGTCACAGCTCCTCTGCGCCACCATTCCCTCCCTTTCTCCTTTGTTCTCCTTAATTCTGGATCACCCTTTATTCTTTCTCCTTAGACTTTTTAAGGATGCTCCCTTTCTTTTTCAGGGACCCAGCCTGATACAACTTCTCTAGCATCGCAGGGGTATCTGGCTCCTTCTCCATCCACTACCCTACTGTTATTAGCTCTATTCCTTGCCCAAGGCTGCAGGATTGGGTTTGCTTTAGGCCTAGATGCTGTCCCCACAACTTGGCAGCCCCTGCTGGCTCTGGTGGAGAGAGGGATCCCACTACTCCCTCACTCCTGGAAGGAGGGTCACTTGCACTTCCCGGATCAGAGACTATCAATGAAAGAACTTCTTCCAAATTCCTGTGGTGTTAGGAACAGGAAGATGCTCTGCTTTCAAGAATGTTGAGCATGTGTCTTGACAAGACACCTGTCCAGCAGATCTTTGCTGCACACCAGACTTTCCAGGCTGTCACAACCTGAAACTTTCTGGTTTAAACTACCAACCATTTAATTCCATGGGTCAGTAAATGGGGCTGCCCTCAGTGGGTGATTTTTCCCCCACCCCCAGTACTGGGGATTGAGAGGTGCTTTACCACTGAGCTACATCCCCAGTCCTTTCAATTTTTTTTTTTATTTTGAGAAAAGATCTTGCTAAATTGACCTCAAACTTGCAATCCTCCTGCCTTAGTCTCCCAAATTGCTGTGATTACAAGCTTGCATCCCCACACCCATTTCTTCTGCTAATCTCTCCAGGATTCACACTTGTGTCAGTTGTCCTCCAGTAGGTTGTTTGGGGACTGGCTGGGCTAGAGGACTTGAGTGGGATGACTCTTCTGTCTCTACTCCATGTGATTTTTTTTTTTTGGTCCTGGGGATTGAACCCAGGGCCTTGTGCATGCAAGGTCCATATGGTTTTATCCTCCAGTGGCCTGGCGAGGACTTCTTCATCGGGTGATCTCGGGGAAGCAGGAGAGGAAAGGACCTGCGTGCAAGCACCTTCCACACCTCTGTTTATATCACATTTGCAAATGTCCCATTGGCCAAAGAAGTCATATGACCCACCAGAGGGAGGGAACAACATAGCATTCATTAGGGACTATTATGTATCATCCAGGGGCTCTGTTTTAAAATAGGTTTATTATTGTTGTTTAATACAGGTTTTATTTATTATTATTGTATACACTTTTTTTGTGGATGCTGGAGATGGAACCCAGGGCCTTGCCCATGCTGGGCAAGTGTTCTGCCACTGAGTTGCATCTCCAGCCTTAGGTTTCATTACTATTTAGGGCTGGTAAGACCAAGAGATCAGGAGATAACTGTCATTGAAAAGATAGTGTGTTACCTTTACTGATCCCAGGAGAAGGGGGCATGCCATGCCATGGGGCCACCTGTGGGAGGGCCTGGGCTGGTCAGGAGGCAGA